AAATAACCTTCTTTCATAAAGCCCAGTTACTCTTTTCTTCAGAAATCCTACCCCTAACTCCATTTCACCATGACCTTCTCTTAGTCTGAATCCCTTCAATATAAATCAATATATTCAGATCTGGAAGTTTTCTTATTTTTTTACATGTTCCTGTATCTCATAAGTTTATTTAATCATGAGATCCATTATACATTCCTAAGAGGACACATAATATGCCTCCTGTAATTTTAAGCCTATCAAAGGCAATGATAGTATCTTCTATATTTTTGCATAACCCACAGTGCTTAACCTGGTCTTAAGCATACCTAAAATATTTAGAAAAAGTCTGTTGTGATAAAATATGTTATATAACATGGTTAGGCTTTGGTGAAGGATTCACTGACTTGGTTACTCACTACATTACTTCAGGTCTCTTGCCTGGCATAGTCTATGCTCCTTGTCGCTGGCTAGGTACTTCCACTATGCTGGAAGCAGATGGGTCTTCCCTGCAGGGAGACCCAGGAACCTGGCAAAGAATACTTCCCTGAATGCTTCTGCCCAAGCAGCAAGGCTATTATTATGAAAGGAGTAAACCAAGGTACAGTGTTGCAACTGAGGTGCAGAGTCCAGCCCCAAAGGGCTGTAATGGCCAGAGAGAAATGACATTCTTTATCTCCAGAATTGGCCTATGCTTCTCCCTTTATAAGCTGACACAGAATAATAAAATATCTGTAATGAAGCTTGTTTGATTTGCTCATGTTTTCACAATATCATCCACAGCAGGGAAGTCCCCTACCCATTTTTCAATCTGCTTCTTTATCACTACAGCTTTCTAAGACCTCATTAAGTATTGCAATACCCCTGCTCCACAGCGGTATGAGTCCCTGTGGACTTCACAGTCAGCTTCCTACATACCACAAAGGGACTCATACTCTGCCTTAGGTTTCAGAAACACAATCCTCAAGAGGCAAAGGTCAACTGATAACTTGCAATTGAAGCAATTTTTTTTTTTTTTTTAAGGAGAGAGTCAGGACTCTAGGTGAGGCTTGGCATCTGTATTAGTTTCCTGGGGCTGCCCTAAAAAATTACCACAAACTTGGTGACTTATAACAACAGAAATATATTCTCTCACAGTTCTGGAGACCAGAAGTCTGAAATCAAGGAGTCAGCAGAGTTAGTTCCTTTTGGAGGCTCTGAGGGAGAATCTGTTCCATGCCTCTATCCTAGTTTCTGGTGGTTGGCAGCAATCCTTGACATTCCTTGGCTTGAGGATGCATCACTTCATTCTCTGCCTTCATCTGTACATGTCATTCTCCTCTCTTTATCCTCTCCTTTTCTTATAAGGACACCAGTCATTAGATTTAGGGTCCATTCTTTCATAAAGCCCAGTTACTCTTTTCTTCAGAAATCCTACCCCTAACTCCATTTCACCATGACCTTCTCTTAGTCTGAATCCCTCCAGTATAAATCTATATATTCAGCTCTGAAAGTTTTATTTATTTTTTTACATGTTCTTTGCATCTCATAAGTTTATTTAATAAACAAATGCAGGATGATTTCATCTTAAGATCTTTAACTACCAACCTGTCTGGAACAAGGGAGAATGAAGAAAACCGAAGACACAAGGGAAAGATTAGTACAAAGGACTAATGGACC